AGACTGACTTAAAAATAAAGTCAAAAAGTACTACGCTTGTCTGTGGGAGAGCCATTGGAAAAAACAAACTAATAACAAACTACAAAACATTAAACCCAAACTAGGTCCGCGAAAGCCTTCGGGCCTCTCCAGAAGAGACGAAGTTATTTTTACTCGATTACGCTGCGGACACACGGCCCTAACACACAAATACCTCCTTTAGGGAGAAGAGAAGCCGTTCTGAGTCGGATGCGACACAGATTTTACCATTATATATTAGACACATTTTAACCAAATGTCTAGACCTCGGAGACACCCGAAGGAAATACTTTAAATGCAAAAAATTGCAAGACATTTTTTCCGTCGTTGATCCCAACAGAATTTTTTATTTTATGAAGGCCATTGGCCTTTTAAGAAAATTGTAGAGTGAAATTGACTTATTAAAAATTTTTATGATATGTAGGAAAGTTGTTTTAAATTGAAAATATATATATTTACACCGAATTTAAAATATTTTAACATTTTAAGATCTACTGAACCGTACCCAGCCGTACAGTGAACTGCTAATAAAACTAACTTGTGTTTCGCGCGCTCATATGACCCTATGCAGTTGTGAACGCCGTAAAACCTCATACTAAACTAAACTAATTGATTCGCTGAGTTTCCTCGGGGTTTAACTTTCTTTCAGTTTTTTCAAGCTAATTATGGACTAAATAGAAGATATATATTTTTAGTTTTATGAAAAAGTTGGTCTCTGTGGCGGCCATCCTGGATTTTTTTTGCTATATTACGGTGGCATGTGGTTTTCACAGAAAAAAAGAAAATTTAAGCCTCAAACATGACACACAGATGCACAAACCCATTATCTGTGATCTTAACGAGGGTTGTTTTTTTTAACTTGAAAAATAAGAAAAATATCCATATTATATCACCGGGCGACTTCCGAAAAAAACGAGTACAATGACAAAAAAATCAGGAATATTTTAAAAAATAATACATATTTCGAAAACTCCTTGACTATGCTCACAAAACAGACTATACAGCACCTTTGTGCCAAATTTCAAGCTTGTAGCTCAGATAATTTTTTTAAACCCTTGCCATCTCGTGATTACCACTATTTAAAAAGTCATTTTTGAGAAAAACGCAAAAAATGATTTGAAAGCGTCAACGTTCCTAACGCATTGTTTATAAAACAATGAATGGAAAAAGTTGACCCATTTCTCTAATATATTTAATAGAATTGATCAGGGTATTGGTTCATTTCGTTCTTACGTTAGCATTCAACAACAGACGCTCAAAACTATCTTCATAAATTTCAGTTCTACCCTTGACAAACTAATCATTGAGTAAAACAATCCGAAATTACACAAACACACACACAAAAAACACAAACACACACAGACAGACAGACACACACACACACACACACACACACACACACACACACACACACACACACACACACACACACACACACAGAGAGAGAGAGAGATTATAATAACTATCAAATAGGTAGTCTAAACCCACTTCTTTTTACGAGAGAGGCAAAATCATTTATCATTTGAAAGCCCAGAAGTTAAAATTTAAAATCCTTCCTAAGGCAACAAAAGTCAGTCATTTAAAGTAACAGTGGTCTAAATGGAAAGCTTTTTCAAAAGGCATATTTTACATGATGTTCAAATAAAATCAGGACAAAAAAATACATTTTTTGATAGTGTTAGACAAGCAACAATTTTTCTACAGTCAGAAGCAGGGGTATCAGCTCGCAATGTTAGTAAAGTCATTAAAATGGTCATTTCTTTGGGACAAGTACAATGCAAATTAAATTTTAAAACAATATCAAAATTACAGCAGAAGAGTCAGTTTTGGATAATCATCAACCATGGTAAGTCATAGCGAAATCGATATATGAAAAACATCAATTCCAGCATGCCTTAATGAAGTTTGAGTCCGAAGAGCCACGGGAGACTATTCAGACTCGAGTTCGAATAGCCACTTCGTGTATATATATATATATATATATATATATATATATATATAAATAAAAATATAAATACCAAGTTGCAAAAGTTCTGTGTGTCACACCCATTTTATTACGTTAATTTTCGATATAGCGTAAGAATTGCAGTAAAAGTTTAAAGTATGACTTGTAGGACTTATGAGACTTCTTGGGCAAGAGCAGACCAAAGAAATCATAAACCAGAAGTAGTGCGTGAACAAAGTGTTGGTATTGATTTCTCTCGGTCTGTGTTGAAATCAACGGTTTCTACACACAAAATTTGCTTTGCATCACGTAGACAATATGCAAACACACCTAACACACTATAAAATTTCGTACTTTTTAAAGGTTGGATACCCTTTTCTCCTGTTCTCAAAATTTTAAAAATGATAAATTCAGAAAATAAAAGGGCTGTGTGTATGTTAAATTCTTTAATTGCACTTTCTGCTGTTGTAAGACACGTAAATGTTTGCAGAGGAACCATCTAACGCTCGAACAAACGTTTTAACACCATTAGAACTGTCCGAGACAAGCCTAGACGTGGCCAACCAAGGGCGACAACTCGACATCAGAATTGGTTTATTGTCAACACCCAAATTCAAAACCCATTCCAACTTAGTGCAGAGACTGCCAGGCCCTTCGGACTGTCTTGAAACATCATTATTAGACATTTATAAGATCGTGGATTACGTGATTATCGCCCTTTATATGGAGCCATTCTAACACTGTTTCCAAGAAGAAATCGCCAAATTTTGGCCTAACAACATTGTCGATTAACTAAATAAGTTGGTAAAGTGTTCTTTTCAGCAATAGTTAAGGTTTTCAATTCGTCGCATTGATGGAAGAGAAAAAGTGTTTAAAAGAAGAGAAGAGAAATTTCACAAATCCAACGTCCCCCAAGAGGCCCAAAGGTGGCTGAAATGTGATGGTAGGAGGTGGAATCTCTGCTTTTTATCGTATATACTTAGTTACCTTTTAAAGCAACCTCAAATAACGACATTATTGAGACGAAATTCTTTGTCACGGTGACTACGCTACATGGCACGGATGATGGAATCTGCTAACAAGACAACGCCCAACCACAAATGGCTAAAATCAATGAAAACTTTTTTCCAAACACACCAAATCGTCGTTCAAGCCTGCAAGATCCACAAGCCATAAGCCAACAGAACATCTGGAAGATGACCTTGACTGAAGGATAGAAACAGGCCGCACTCCGTATAAACTGGTGAGGAACTGAAGGCTGCACTTCACAAAGAATGGCAGGGGATTCCTTAGGCAACCATAAGGACTTCAAATCAGTTCAATGAACGGATGTTTTTTAGTAGTAATTCCAGCTGGAAGAGGCCACACGCCATACTGAGCAAACTTTGATTTGGATTTTGCAAGAGTCAGTGTGAATAAAATTATCTCCCTTGAATAAGGGAAGACATTTGTCAATTCTTTTTATGCCATGTTGGCAGAAAATGAATAAAGATCGCGTGTACCAAATTTCTTTTGGCTATGTTTAGTAGTAAATGAGTTATTGTACTTTTAAGGTGGGTGTGACAGAACTTTTGGAACTCGGTATATATATATATATATATATATATATATATAATATATATTTCATATTTTTCAGACAAACCCCGTTATACTGCCCCCTTGAGATGATCATGACGTTGGCGGTACAGTGGGACAAGCAGTATAACGGGAAAGCATTGCCATTTTGTCTAGTGGTAGACTCGCAGTAACTATAGCAAACAATGATCAGTCTAGATTCATGTAGACCTGCCATACGATTTTGCCATGCGCAGGGAAAAACGATTGGTAACCAATTACATGTACATCTCCAGCTGAATTTTACTTGAATTCAATTCGAAAATTTCTGCCGTATCAGAAGCTAAGTTATATGTGTCAATGAACCCGACACCCGAGAGTCCTTGGACCGCCCCAGACCTTTCACATATATTATAATGAGCCCTCGCAATATAAAAGCCTCACGGGCGCCTGCCAGCCTTTTACTTAGTAGTCTGGCTGATATCTGGCCTCTCCAGAAATTTTGCCAACAGGGCGAGGCTGCGCAGTTCCTTTGAAATTTCTCCAGGTGCCTTTAGAATTTCATTCCATTTTTTTAAAACCTTGGCCTACAGATAATGGCAATTTCACAAACCCCACAAATCAGGAACAAATCGGTGACAGGTTGTAGAAATGGGTGAACTGGCAGAGAAGTGTAAGGAAAGACATTATCAAGCAGCCACCGAATGAGTAGCCTACCCGAAATAGTTAAGATGCAGCTAAGATTGCTCGATACATGGTGTCTTTAAAAAAGAAGACCACTTAAACAAAGGACCCTGAAACATGCCATAGGGTTTTTCCAAAATTTCCAGTGGCGATTTGAAACTTGTTTGGAAAAAAATGGTCAATACCTGGGGATTTAAACAGCCATGACCTTCCTGAGGTTATTTGGCAATATCAAATCTGTTTAAATTTGCTCTTAAATGCACACAATTGGACGACTTGAAATGGAATAATGCAGTTGATTTATAAAATAATGCAAAGTTTTGCTTTTCCCTCAGTTCGGTTGAGATTTTTAAAGAATTCATATTTTTTTTAATTTGAAGATTGTTTTATTTTGAGTATTGACAATTGTAACGTTCCCGAGGTAAATGGTATTTTGATAGAAGTTAAGTCGAAAATGACCAAGGTATTGCCCTTCAAGTGGGTCTCTTTCTTAAGACACCCAGTATCATGCTGCTCTTATTCGAATCCTTACCTCAGTAACTTCGATTTTCGGTTATTGAAAAGGTTGTCTTGCTTGAAATTGGAAGCTAAGCGTTTCCACAAGTTCTGCACGATGTATAAAAGATGAATGAAATGTTATAACTCTAGAGGTATGATTTGTGCCCCCTCCCCTCCTACATATCGATGTCTGAAGTCCATAAATGATGTCTTTGGATGTTGTTTCATCACACATTTTCATTCATATTTTTTATTGACACCCCCTGCCCCCACCTTCTTTCCTCCTGCACTTCTCAAACAGGATGTATACTGCATCAGAGCTCTAGTACGAAGTTCCAGGAATGAGGAAAAACAGGTGATTTTTAAAATATATATTATTTCTTTGCTGACACGCGGTTCCTCGATCATTGTCCCTCTGTATTTCATGTGTCGTAAATATCATATTTGATTTTTGTAGTACTGTTTAACTTACTCTGAGTCATTGGTGGCTATTCAAAGACCATCTTACAAGACAGAAGTCATAGTAAATTATAGCATCCGACAATGTTGCCACTATTGTCCATTAGCCATCAAAAGCCAGTTCTATATATTATGTGTACATACTACATCTATGTAATCGACATGCGCGTACGCAAAGACAAAAAAGTATGTGTGTTGCTTCAACGAATTTTAATCTTTTGGTTTTTCAGTCCAATCAAGATAGGCTAAAAATGTTAAGATTATGATGTTGCAGTTTTTTTGTTTTATGATAAGTAGGCATACTATATAAACTTATAATGTTTCGAATCACGTATTCTGAACAACTTGATGAACAACCTACATCATCTCGCACTCTCCTTTTAAAATCAAAGTCCGTTCATTTCACTTCTATAATATTTTATTATATATATAATATATTTATATACATATATGTATGCATATTATATACATACATGTATATATATAATAATAATAATAATACATAATAATAATAATATAATTCTCTCTCTCTCTCTCTCTCTCTCTCTCTCTCTCTCTCTCTCTCTCTCTCTCTCTCTTTCTCTCATTCTCACAGTCTGGCATAATTATACATGCATATTATATCAGTTCATCATTATGACAGGTATGCATTTATGAATTAAAAATGCTTCAGCTGTTTTTTGAAAATTATATATATATATAATTATATATAGATAGATAACTAGTAAATAATTATTTTAAAGTACTTTGAGGATGATGTAACAGGACTTTTGCAACTCGGTATAATTGGAATAGACGAAAATTTGCAATGTAATTGAAGACAATTGACATTATAATTTGCAATTGGGTTCTGTTGATAAATAATATTGAAATTTGAGAAAATGTCAAATAAGAAGGTAGGGTAAGAGAGTGAGAGTGAGAAAGAGAGAGAGAGAGAGAGAGAGAGAGAGAGAGAGAGAAGGAGGGGGGAGAGAAAGAGAGAGTATATATAAAAAATATTATATATAACTTTAAATGTTATAACACACACACACACACACACACACACACACACACACACACACACACACACACACACACACACACACACACACACACACATATATATATATATATATATATATATATATAATATACATGTTTCTATCTCTATCTATCTATCTATCTATCTATCTATCTATCTATCTATCTATCTATCTATCTAGCTATCTAGCTATCTACCTGTCTATCTATCTATCTATCTATCTATCTATTTATCTATCTATCTATCTATCTATCTATCTATCTATCTATCTCCCGAAACCTCCATTTTCTCTGCAGAGGCCACTGCCTTTGACATTGCACTGAACTCCGAACAAATCTTTCCTTATCCTTTCTCTCTGCCTTTCATCACCTCACTTACAAACTACACGCTTCTACACCTAAAAATAGTTGGGCTACAACAAAAAATACACGCCTTGACTGAAACCGGGGAAAATATCGTGTTCGCATGGATACCTAGGCATGTGGGCATCCGAGGAGACGAGCAGGTAGATTACCTAGCGAAGGAATCCTTATCCCTTCTGTTGGGATCAACGACGAACACTCTCCCACAGACTGACTTTAAAAATAAAGTAAACAAGTACACCTCCAGCCTGTGGGAGACCCACTGGAAAAAAAATAGATAAACAATAAACCTCACAACATTATATCCAAACTGGGACCGCAAAATCCTTCGGGCCTCTCCAGAAGAGACGGAGTCATTTTTACTCGATTACGCATCGGACACACGGCCCCGACACATAAATACCTCCTTCAGGAAGATGAGAAGCCTTTTGTGACACAGATTTTACCATTAGACACATTTTAACCAAATGTCTAGACTTTGGAGAGACCCGAAGGAAATATTCTAAATGCAAAAAATTGCAAGATCTGTTTTCCGTCGTTGATCCCAACAGAATTTTGGATTTTATGAAGGCCATTGGCCTTTATAGGAAATTATAAAATGAAACAATACTGTTAAAAATTATATTGTTATTTACAAGAGTTGTTTTAAATTGAAAACATATTTACACCGAATTTTAATATTTTAACATTTTAAAGTCTAATAGTTTACCAACCGTGCAGTGAACTGTTGCGAATGCAACCAACTTGTGTTTCGCGCGCTTATATGACCTTAATCAGTTGCGAGCGCTGTAAAACCCAATACCAAACTTTTTTGCTGCAATTCGCATGCTTTAGTGAAAATTATAGTAGTATAATGGGTGTGACAGAACTTTTGCAACTCAGTATACTTGTAAATGCAAGAAGTCCTCAATCTTTAAATAGTATATGGGGGGAAATGCCCCTGTAGACTTTTCGAAAACCGCAATAACTCTCATCCTAACTGTTCTTTTCCCCCTTCATTTAGGCTCTCCAAGACCTCGACTTCGCCCTCGGCTTCTCCCCTGATCACGTGGCCTGTCTCGTGGTACGCGGAGCCATCACTAGACCCCTGGTACGTGAAGCACAGTTCTGCGTCTTCAGTCGTTACGAACTTCAGTAAAAGTAGTTCCATAATTGTTACCTTTTCCTTAAAACTCTAGTGGTAGATCTAGATCTAGTTGAAATAAGGATTTAGTCTCATTTCTGCTGCTGAGGAGAAAACTGGTCATCTTAGACAGGTGGTCCTTTGGAAAGAGTCATCAGGGCAATCAAATAATCACTGATTCCATTTCTTAATATAGGAACATCTTCGTCATCAAATGCACCCTTAGACGTAGGTCTTATTAAAGTACGAGTATCCTTATCCAGTTCAGAGAGATGTGAAAACGGTACTTACTTTCTGGACGTCCCTCGTAAATGTTCCCACTGTGAGAAAAATGTTGTAGGTGTGGCTTCATTTCTACCTGGTTCTTTGTCTCACTTTGATTAGCCTTCAAAACAAGTCAGCCTTCGCCCCCTGAGTGGCATTATAACATACAACAATAACCCCCACCCACCCCCCCCCCAAAAAAAAATAATTTAAAAATAGATAAAATAAAATTTTAAAATCCAACGATGGAAAGTGGGAAGAAGTCGTTTGCTCAGGTGGTCTCGAGAGCAGGTTTGATTGTATACATGTAGGTATAATATACTATAGTGCGGTCAAAAATTCGTGGTGCAACATATCTTCAATATCTCTTTAACGGGTGAATCAATGTCATCCATACCATGCATAGCAGTTGGTATCAATCTGTCTTAACTAAATCATATATTTCCAGAACAATTTTAAAAACATTTCTTCCTAAATGTATATAAGATACTTGAAATCTCTGTCACACGTAAAATGGTATTGTTCAGAGCACTTCCCGCTTCTCACACACATTTTGATTACGCATATGACCTACGTCAGAGCTCACAAATGACAATTTTTACTTGCAAAACTTGTTACAAGAATATATTGTTATAGTGAAAACATGTATTGCACTAATGGCTCTCAAAACATGCGTTCAATAAGTATAATGTCACGATTAGAAAAACCTGACAGACTTGCTATTAGAAGCAATATTGCCCCAGCTGTAAGCATTTAAAAATCTGCAGAAACCACCCACTTTGATTTTTTATTGTATTTATTAGGGACATTTTCTAGAATACAGCTTCCAGGCGTTAACAAACATGTTGATCTGTTAAGACGAATTGATACACGTCATTGTGCAAAAATTTGAGAACCTATATTCGATAGTTGAGGAGTTTTTGACAATAAGTCGCGCCACGAATTTTTTACCGCACTATAGCTGGGTACCCGTTCGATGAACGGACTAAAAAAAATCGATCGTTAAGTCATTGTGGACCGAGTGCGCACTGCTTATGAACAGAAGCCTGACTTGTTTACCATGGCGTCTTAGAAGACGGACGTTCCCAAGATTAGATCTAAACGGAACTAATTTTAAAAAACTAAAAATTAAACTACAGTGACTTCAGACTCCTTAATATAATTGTGCACTCTTTAAATGATTCTGAACCACAGTTAGTTTTTTTTTCAAATTCGAAAGTTAAATGGTTAAGAAGTTTTAGGCGACCAAAGTGACGAACTTTCACAAATATTGTATATATATATATATATATATATATATATATATATATATATATATATATATATATATATATATATCTATATATATATCTATCTATCATCGCGTTATAGGCTTGTACTATCAGCTCATGCAGCATACCAATTTAAAGCTGAATAAATTCTACATCTTCTGCCACATTAATGTTTTATCTATGTTGAGAGACTCCAGAGGTAATGACTTTTTTAAAAATCAGGCTTGGCAAAATTGTGCGAAATCAAAGAAAAGCAAAAGTGTGTTCGCGCGTATATTGAAGGGCATCAACATTGGTGTAATGGACATGTATTGAATATCAAATGAAAAGAAAATATTATTGTCTCCTCAATTAACAGTATCTTCTGATATTTTAAGACAAATTGGAGAACAGAGCAGTTACAATTACCACACAAAACCTGGACTTAACATAACATATGCTCATTTGTATTAATTGATTTTGTTTAGGAGCTAATGGTTTCGTGTCGATCACGAAACCTTTTTTTATGCCCATGGACTGTGTTAGATTTTTTGACATAATCATCAATCTGTCAGTGACGAATAAAAGCCACGAAACTGCCATTGATTTGGATCCAGGATAGGCCTCGACCAGGATAGCCCCGTTTGACCAACGACTGGATCGACCGGTTCACCGTCAGACAGGCCGTGACGTCATGAACCACTACTGCAAACCGCATCAGGGACCAACTACGGATGTAAGCCAATGTCCATGTGAGCGAGGAAACGGTGAGGAACCGTCTCCGTAGAGCCAGATTCGCGTCTCGTGTCCGTGCCAGGCTGCCAAGGCACTAGCCGCCCCACAAAGCAGCTGGCCGGGCGTGGTCTGCTCGCCATTCACCGCGGACACGACGTCAATGGGACCTGGTAGTCTTCTCGGACGAATCCAGATTCAACCTGCTGCACCCAGACAGGCGAGCCCACATCTGGAGGCGCCGAGGAGAGCGGTTCCACCACCCAGCAAGGTGGCGCCCTACGGTGGAGGGTCCGTTCAGGGGTGAGGAGGCTTCTCATATCACCACAGGACACCCCTGTAGTATATACAGGGCAATTTGACTGCGGCAGGGTACAGGTACGAAATCCTGCGTTCCCATGCTGTTCCTCTCCTGCAGTAGATTGGACCATTTGGGATCACATTTACCGGCGTATAAGGGACAACCATCCTCAAGCACAAAACCTTCAACAACTCTTGGGCTACCTCGTCCAGGAGTTCAACCTACTGCAACAAGTTCTCCGAAGGCATGTCCTGTCCATGTGTCGACGCTGTACCGAGTGTTTGATCAACCAAGGTGGCTACATTCCCTATTGGTAATGTTCATGAAGAACCATGGCTGTTCAGACTTTTGAAATCCAACCAGTGTGATTTAAGCTCATTTTTCATGAACTTCTCGTTGCTGTTGAAATCTGAAATTGTACACACATAATCTAGAGAGTCGAAAGCATCTATTTGTTGAAAAATGAATAAATTCGGTTAAAATATTTTTCAGCTATCTTGTTTGAATTTACATTGCACAGGTGTTGGAACGTCATTGTCTTACCTTTATTTTCATCAAGGTGTTATTCAAATAGACATTTCCTTGCATAGCAAAGAACTTTCTTAAAGGGCCAATGCCACTAGACAATTCTTGGAAAGCCAAATCAAATCAACGGGGGAGAGGTCACTAGTAAATAGCCCCGATATGAATCCTACAGGTATATAAAGACTGAAGTACCATGAAACAGCAGCTGAAGAAAAGAGACGTTGCTTCCCATTCAGACTCCTTGTTTGCAACTCTCTGTGACATTTAGGATTAAATGACAGATAATTATTATGTCCAAAATTTAACAGACTTGACGCCCAAAGGGTTTGTGCACTACACAAAACTAATGGCTCCTAAGCAAAATAAAAATGTGCACATTTACAGTGGAAACCATAATATATAACAAGCCTGGTAATAATTGGGATCCGGTAATAACAGGGATTTTTAAAATCCCCGTTTTATCCTACTCTTTGTCTCTATTAAAAGTTATCGGCGATAACAGGGCCTCAACGAAGCGCAATCGGTTATAGCAGGGACAAAGGCTTGTTAACAATTTGTGAAAAGCAAGTAGGAGAGAGAGAGAGAGAGAGAGAGAGAGAGAGAGAGAGAGAGAGAGAGAGAGAGAGAGAGAGAGAGAGAGAGAGAGTAACGCACAGATGGGGCAAGCCCACGCAAGCTACGCCACTGCGAGCACACGCAGCGGGTGAAGCGAGAGACCGCTGCTGTGTGCAACAGACTTCGGTCTAGCCCGAAGTCTAGCTACACGCACGCATAATGTGAAATGCGTAGCATGGCGAAAACCCCTGTTCGTGGGTACTTGCGGCAAGGGAAACTACCCATGAATAAATACAGCTGGATTAGTCCACAAATGCCTATTTCCCTTGCATTTCTAATTTAACTGGGATCTAATATAACAGGACTTTTTCTCTGGTCCCACCATCCTTGTTATATCAGGTTTCCACTTTAATGTAAAATCCAACTCTTGCGTGGTATTTGTGATGGCTCTGTTTTCAGTTTTGTTTAAAATTATGGTCACAAAATATGAAAAAAAGAATGTAGTTTATTGCAATACAAAATTCTCCATTCTTTGGATACGAAATGTATGTCCATTCTATCCATACACGCGCGAAGACAATTTTACGTTTCTTTGATTTCGCACAATTTTTCATAGCCCGATTTTTTATGGTCAATTGTGAGTGACCATATCTCGGGCGTCTCTTAACATAGATGAATTATTATTGTGTCAGATGATGCATAGTTTATTTAGTTTTTAATTGATATGCTGCATGAGTGGCAGTGCGAGACTTTAACACGATAATTCGGTGATAACATTTTCAAGTATATATATATTTATAAATTTTTATATATATATATATATATATATATATATATATATATATATATATATATATATATATATATATACTCTTTTACTTTGGAAGCATGCCAGTTTGTCACAGGTGCACCCCGCTTCGACTGTGCCTAGTGCTCTGCATGACGGAAGTTATCACTGACACTCAAAAATAGTAAATGAATGATTGATTGATTGTATGAATTGAATTTTTTTTAAACTGCTTTTTAACGAAAGAACATTCATTGTTGATATTTTAGAGAGTAATTTGCTTTGATTTGCTTACAAAAAGGAAGAAATATTGAACAACACAAGCTAAATTAACATTTTAGAGAGACTATCTCTACACCACCAGTCTGAAGGTGAAGAATAATAAGCTTAAGTTACAACTACAGTGTTAAAGTGCTGTAATTATGACAAACGAAATTGTCTAAAAAGTAGGTCATTTCTCAAAAATAACATTTTGGTGCTTCAAACAGTGTTCACTGACCAACTCTGAAAAAAGAAAAAAAATCGGCATATTTTCCTTAACAAGTGGTGGATT